CTCCAGTTCGATGAACAGACTCTTAAAAAGGCAAGGAGGAAGCAGTGGAATGAGCCACGCTATTGTGCACGGCGCTACCTTAAAGTGGATTTTGCAGATATTGGATGGAGTGAATGGATTATTTCCCCTAAATCTTTTGATGCCTATTACTGCTCTGGAGAATGCCAGTTCCCTATTCCAAAGGTACCGTATCACCTTTTAAAAATACAGCTATTCTTCTCCCCTTATCAGTGAAGAAAAAAATGACCTCCATCCTTTTAACAAGCTGTATGTGGCTTTGTTAAAAGCATCAATAAAACACACTTTGGTTGTTATGAAACTGGAGTATGTACTAAGCGGGCAAGTTTTAAAATGTGTGCTGTTTTCAGTGTGATTGCTTAAATAGCTGAGTAAGAAGTCAGAACTGGTTTGTGCAGATATAAAAAGTTATTGAGAGATCTGATCGCAGGAGATGCTTGTACAACAACCAAATATGCTGTTAAATTGCTTATTGGTTAAGAATAATGTATTCAAACTGCCTTTATCCCCTGCATGTCTATTCCTGACAGTACAGCAATGTTTTAGGGCTTCATATATATGAATAACATTTGCCGTATTGGAAAATAAATGCTCTGGATGAGGTGTCACCAGCCATGCATGACAGTCCATTAGGGTGGAAACACAAACAATGTGTTTAGAGGCCCTAAGTGTGTTCGCTCCAACATGTACAAACTCTTAATGCATACCCTAAAACATTGGTTGGTTTAGATTGAAGCTGTGGAACCTGAGCAGTTCTGAACTCAAATAGATGAAACTGGACTTAGCTAAATGAGTGCAGGTTTATACTGTATTGCACACCTCTGCACCAACCACTGATAGGAACTGACCCTGACAGAAGTCTTGGCTTGGTTAATACTAAGAAATATAATGCATTTTTGCTTCATACCCCTTCATTTTCAGCCTGGGTAATTAGGGTTTTTTTTCCTGGTTATACATAATTCTTAAATCATTGCAAGGTGCAAAACGTTTAATCTGTGTGTGTCATTTAAAGGTAATGTGTGTGTGTGTGTGTGTTTTAAGTGGTAGTACTGTACTTAAAACAGAATCCACAAAGAGCAAATTTGACATGTTTTGTGGTTTTGATTTCATGCCTGTGGTTCCATTAGTACAACTTAATGAATATCCTTTGCAAAGGGATACAGATCTGTCAAATGAATGGGGGGTGGGGAGCCTCTTTCCCTGTCAGCTAAACTAACAACTCTTCCTCAGTAAATGCTCATACCATATCATTGTCCAGTTCAACCTTTTGGCAGTGAATTAACAGCAGCCTCACCTCAATGCAGATTTCAGGTGCTATGAATTTCTCTCTTTCTCCTCACCCATCTCCAGCCCCCAAGGATCCAGCTTGATCATATCTATGCAGGATTTCATTTTCCTGCAATTAAATGCGTAAAACAGGCCAAAACATAATAAAATGTTTCTTGAAACCACAAAAAGCTAACCACACGGCCTGTTTTCACAGAGCACCACCAGCGTGCCCAGTGCTTTTTGTTAACTACAAAAACAAAAGTTGAAAGAATGTGCTGCCACCATGAGCATAATATATTCTGCAGATTCACCTGCAGTCTATAGTTTATAGGTGTTTCTTCTGGGGGAAATACTTCTATAGCTGATACAGCTATGAAATGGGCTGCTGGATTGGCTCTTGGCAGCTAATTCAGAGAAGCAGAAAAAAATACTGCATGCCGAGATGCATGCTTCTTCCTTTGACTTAGAGAAAAGCGAGTATAAAAACCTTCTGAAAGGGAGTCTCTCTCTTTCTTCTCTACTCCATAGCTGTTGTGTAAACGTACAAAATGAAAGTGACCTGCAATAGATGTGCATGCATGACCACTCTTTGTTTTTGTTTTTAAATTATTGACGTAACTACAATATACAACACAACACACACAAGATAATCTTAATATTTAAAAGCACTAAACTACTCAAACAAAAGTTTAACTAATATTGGTGCACCCACCACCAGTACCAGTAGAGATAGAGACATATTCCCCATCATCATCATCATCATCATCATCATCATCATCATCATCATCATCATCATCATTATTATTATTATTATTATTATTATTATTATTATTATGAAGCCACATAACCTTTCCAAAATAACATTATCTTTTGTTTGAGTAAACAGTCTTCACCGTTCATGACCACATAGTTCAAACAATTCTTGCCATATTTCGACAAACTTGTTCTCTTTTAACAACCCCTTTTTGACTTTTATATCTCATATCAACTTGCTAACAGCCAATTCCCAAACTTTACTATAGGTGAGGTAAAGTTCCCCTTGACATTTAGACACGGTGAGGTAAAGGTTCCCCTTGACATTTAGACACTCGTGTCTGACTCTAGGACACAGTGCTGATCCCCATTTCCAAGCCATAGATCCAGCGTTTTTGTCCGTAGACAGTTTCC